GACAGTCCTTACTCACCTTGTTTAGACTACTGTTTGTTTTCGACATCCGCGTTGTGTTTGTTGGCGCAGTCGCAATGGTCATGGTTACTGAGATAATCTCATTATGTAGATAGATATTTAGATATGTAGGTGAAGGCCTTTAAGGTTTAACAAGGAAAAAATAAGTTTAAACTCTCAAAAAAACTAAACCATTAGCCCCAAAAATATACTTTTTATCCTACGTAGGAACCCGAATGTGTTCCTATTGCCGTTATAACAACAAATAAAAAAAATCAAGATGGCGAATTTCAAAAAAGCTGCCATGCAAATTAAAAAATATACGGCACCAAACCCTTCGTGCGCGAGTCCGACACGAACTTGACCGATTTTTTATTTCAAATAAACTTTTATAAGCACTTTTGAATTGTCAACTTTGAAACATTAATTCAAATGACAATATTGCAAGTGAGGCAACTACTTCCAGCTATGAAGACAGTTCTAGTGAGAAGCTAACAAATAACCTAATAAGATTTTTACATTTAAATATTAATTGCTTGGCAACTAGTAAATAAATACTTGCAAGTTGTAACTTTAATAATTATATAGTTTTACGTCTGTTACCGCGAATTATTGCCAATTTACTAAAATAATAACCGTGTAATTACATATGATTGTTAGTTTGTACAGTATTCAAATGGGATCTACTTTCTGAAATATGATTGACATACTTATTACACAGTTCAGATTGAAGTAGGTGGGATTGTTTAATGTTTTTTTGTAACTTTTTAGTAGACTATTAACAAGCAAAACCATAAAACAAAAAATCGGCGCGTGTAATCTTTACGCGCGGTTGAAGTAAAATTTGTTTGACAAATATCGCAATTAAATTGAAACAAATCAATAATAAAATAAGGCATATTTCAATCATATATTTATAGAATATAATATATCAGACAATAACAACGGTTACCATGGCAACAATTAGACATAATAGCTTTTATTTAATTTTTGCACATTCATCCCACAGTCATATAACAATATTCATTTTAATAAGTAATATACATAATTTATTAATAATAAATATATATTTTAATAAATACAAATTATCAAAAGAATATAATTTATATTTTTTTTAATAATAAAGACTCACTTCCGTGATACTCACTTTCGCGACATTCATTTTTCCATGTATAACCTCAGTCACGCCATAATAGTTTTACTTCAAAAATACCCAAAGATAATATAGATTAAGGAAAATGAAAATTTGAACATTAACAACATTATCTGTAACTTTGGAATAACGTACATATTTATTTTATTTACAGTAAAGTTTTCATCTATCTAAGTAATTAAAAGTGTACTTTTTTGTTTTCCTTATTTAAATTACTGCCTTATTTTAAACGTTTAGAAAGTATGGTCTAGGCCATAGCTTTGCTTAGCATAGTTCTGGAAGCCCGATATGTAAACACAGCCAAAATTGAGTTTTAGTGCACCTGAATTGATTTCACCTGATTAATGTTGTATACAACCCTGTTTTAACGTCCCACTGCTGGGGGTGGGCCTTCAATACGAGGGGATCAGGCACGATGCACCACGCTGGCCAAGTGCGGGTTGGCGGACTTCACATGTCTTTCAAAACTTGCTAGATTCCCTCAGACATACAGGTTCCTCACGATGTTTTCTTTCACAGTAAGATAAGTGGTAATCATGTCGGAAACGATTCGCACATAAAAATATCAGAAGCGCGAGACCGGGGATTCAAACCCGCTCCACTCGGTTTCCCAAGTGAGCTAGTTACCACTGCGTGTTTAACCACCTACACCTTTTTGCTAAACTTGTAAAACTGGGTTTAAATTAAAATGAATATATATTAAGTTTAATTATATATTTAATTATTAATTAATTACATATTACTTTTTTTGACATTAAATACATTATACTATAATACTTTATATTCAATTCAATTGTTTTCTTTATAAGTATATAATAATTGTTTTATTATATAATAATTGTTATTTACTTAAATAAAAATATATAATACAATAGGTTATTCAATCCATATGTTTGAACCTACAATGAAAACCACAATTTATAAATAAGAGTAGGTACTTACCTAACTACGACGCAGCAATTTGCCTCGCATCAGGAAATGGTCTTTAGAATTATTCATATTATTGGCATTTTTAACAATTTTACTTTTAAATAAACAAAGTAGACATTTATGTTTCAAAATGATATATGTTTCTAAATGTCATATGTTTTTCGCTATATATAATTTTAAATTTATTTTTCCTCCCGGACAGTTGACGTAACGATACTAATAATCATTTTAATTTATACCAAAATATTTTGAAGTTATCGATAATTATCATCATTAAAATACTTTGAAGAAGTAGAGAAATGAAAGTGCTTTGTCTAAAGTACTCAAACATAAAACTATCTTTTTGTATATCTTCCATGTATGTATCTCTACATGTTAACAAAGTCCTTCGCCGCATCTGTCTGTCTGTCTGAATGCGATAAACTCAACTACCAAATGGATTTTCATATGGTTTTTACCAATTAACGAAATCATACATGAGGAAGCTTAAGGTGTATAATTCATTAAGGTTTTGTTTAAATTGACTGAAATATGAAGATTGTTGAAAAAGTTGGAATGAATCAAGCCGACTGTAGAGCTTTACTGGCGCGCAGCGCGTGAACCAATACACTTACATCATATGAAAACAATGCATTACGGAATTATTAGTAGTTAGATATGCATTCGAGCGAACCGAAGGTAACTCGCTAGTATTTAATATTTCTGTATTCAATTTAGGTTAAAAGGCAAGAATTTCAAAATAAAAAATATGCTCTACATATTTTTATATTGTCCTTTTTTAAATATGTACTTATAAAAAGAATTATATCTGCATAATGAATCACTTAAAAAAATATAAACTGCTTGATTACCTACCACATCAAAAATTAGAGCGAAAATAGAATTCAGCACTCCTTGTGCTTGAAAAATCACCTTGACCCCGCACAAAGACGTACACTAAAACTATGTTTTCGGATTTATTTCGATTTTTCTTCGCCGTGGAGGCTCTCCAAAAAGACTACCAAAAATCTGCGAAAAGGTCCGAAAACATAGTTTTATTTAAAACTAGCATTGCTTGCGGCTCCGCCCGCGTTCGGTTGACCAAAAACCAAATTCTTAGGTTTTACATATTAGTATACTCGTACAATGCAGTTTTTGAATTTTTTCTCAGAAATGAGATATTTTCCCGCGGTAAAAAGTATCCTATATGTTGACCCGGATAACCATCTATCACCATACCAAATTTCATCAAAATCCCTCCAGTGGTTTTTCCGTGATGCGGTAACAGACAGATAGACAGACAGAAAAACAGACTACAAAAATTCTAAAAACTATAGATTCGGCCTCTGTATCGATAATAATTAATAATGTCTAATTCAATAAGATTTTCCAAAAAAATATTTAATGTACAGATTCGGCTTAGTTACAATTTTATTATAGGTATGTATAGATGTCAAATATTCGCGTAAATGTAAGAAAGTATTACACTAAACTAGTAGATATATAAACAAATCTGTAATAAAAAAACACAGCATAAATCCGGTGGCAATGGCAATAAAGGAAACATTGTAATAGGTACTATATTAGCACTATTTCAGTAAATGTGCACATCGAGTATCTATTATTTATTGTTTAAGTTTGAATAAATTTACTTTTAGCGTGTATAAGTGGTAGGTACTATTCGAAACTTGTTGCATACCGGAGGAAAATCTTATGTAACAACACCTTAAAACTATGTTTTTCTGATTTCTAAGGGTTCCCGATAATTAGTCTCGATAAATCATGTTTAGTTAAGGAAAACATGAGGACACGTTTGGCTCAGTTTGTAGTGACCCTACTCGCTGTGCCAGCGGTCGCGGGTTCGAGTCTCGTTAGGGGCATTCATTTGTGTCATGAGCATGAATGTTTGAACTCCAGTCATGGGTGTTTACATTTATAATGTGTATGTATTTAAAGTTATATATGTGTAGTGTATCAACTATCTAATATCCATAACACAAGACTCATAGCTTACCATGGAACTAGATGGTGCTGTGTGATAATGTCCCAACATATTTATTTATCCTTTAATCTACATCATAAAATAATCCTCGTACAAAAGCGAAAACAATCATAAATCTATTTATTCTAAGGAAGGAATACTTACTCGTAATAATAGGTTACAAATTATCCGATACTAATCGCACGCCACCTAACTTTATAGTAGGTATATCAGAAATGTTCGCGTAACTTCTAAAATTTTTACGCATTTGGATGAACACATTCGTTTAAAACAGACAATCAGATATTACAGTTTGTAGTGACCCTACTCGCTGTGCCAGCGGTCACGGGTACGAGTCCCGCTGGGGGCATTTCATTTGTGTGATGAGCACGAACGTTTGTACTCCAGTCACGGGTGTTTATATTTATTTATAATATGTATGTATTTAAAGTTATATATGTGTAGTGTATGAACTATCTGGTATCCATAACACAAGCCTCGCAGCTTATCATGGAACTAGATGGTGTTGTGTATTAATGTCGAAACATACTCGTATTTATTTATTATCTGTATGTATAAAACTTAAATGATTTCACAGGTATTCGTTTTTATTTACATGTAAGATACTAAAATCTTTATTAATAACCAAACCCATAACCACAACCTATCCCAATTTACTATAATATGAAAAACTATATAATAAAATAGTAACAAAGTGAAATCTGTACATGAAACATTTTTTGGAAACAAGTACTGTGACGTATTGTGTACAGAACATAGACCCAAAATAATATTTATTGAATTTTTGAGCGAAGCGAGGTTATGTGCTAGTTTACAATAATAAGGCTAATGACAGAAATACGCAGAATTTAAGCAAAATATCTTTTCATTTACTCTAACCATTTACAAAATTTCTTCCACATGGCAATACTAGGTAATCCTTTATTCATTTATTTGCAGCGTCATTCATCAAAGCCTGTTCAGCGTCAGACCCAAACCTTAACCAATGTATTGAAAAAGTGATTAATGTTGGTGGGCCCGAGTTCGTTAAAGGCATTCCCGAGCTGGGCATCCAATCCCTAGATCCTGCTAATCTCGGCACAATCGTGGTTAACAACCCTGCCTTGAAGATTACCTTAGATGACACCGTCGTCACTGGCCTGGCAGGATTCAAACTTAATTCTTTCAAGTAAGTGATTTAAATAACGCGAACGTTTGTGAAACGAAGTTATTATAATTAGGTTTTTGATACTTAGTATATATATAGTATATATACAAACACGACCCATGGTTGTCACCAAAAATTTACTGCAGCCCATTTTTACTAAAACATACGATCCGATACGAGCAATTAACTACTTCAATTTACCTGTTTATACCTGGATGTCGGGTAATGTGTTCGATAAAGGCCGCCAAACATATGATGGCATTTTCTTCAAGTCTTACTTTCGATTGATACTAATTTGTCACAGGAAAAGAGTTCTTGTACTTTAAAAACTTCTAATACAATTAACTTTTTTTTATTAAAAATAGCCTAGAGCTTTGGTGACAGCCGCATTGGGTCGTGTTTTAAAAAAACAGTTTTAAAAAAAAATCGAAAAAGATTGAGGGGTCCACCTCATAAATCGGGATCTCCTACTACATATATTAAAATGTTTAAAATGCCGAATCGGTCCAACCGTTCTCTAGTGATTCACTTACCTACCCATGAAAAATATTTCATTTTTGTTTATATAGATTAGTGTGAATTTCGTTAACAAAAGCAATTCTTTTTCTATGAAAAAATTAAATATGAATAACAAAACGATGTGAATTGTACTAATAAATATTAACAAGATATATTTTTTTTTAGAATTAACACACAAAAAGGAAAAGCTGCGTTAGATTTCACTGCCAACGTGACACTTAAAGCACATTATGACATGGACGGCCAAATTCTCATCGTCGGAATCAAGGGCAATGGCCAATCGAAGATCAAGATCAGTTAGTATTGTTATTTAATTTAGAGTTAAGCATTATTTTTTACGAAACGTTTTAAATAACTGTGGAACAATTAATTAATTATTAGAGCATTATACGAGTATCATATATTTAAGTGAGAACATAATTTGTTTAATTCACATATACTCGTTTAGAAAATTGAAGTGGACTGTTTTACTTAAAGACAAAATTATTTTCAATAAAATTATTTAAGAATTAAAAGTAGCTTATTCATAATATCGATTTTTTTATATTATAGAAGAATAATAATATTTACCTCTTTCAGCAAATTTGAACGTTGTAATTAAATACGATTACAAAATGGTCGATGGCTACTGGTCAGTAACAAGCCACAAGGACTCGTATAAGATGGACGGAGCAACCTTTAAATTCACAAATTTATTTGGCGGAAGAAATAAAGAACTCTGTAAGTCATGATAGTTTAAATCAAAAATATTATTTATGATTTAAAAAATATAAACCAAACAGCTAACTCTAGGCTACTTATATATTAATCAGTTTTTTTAAATTCCAACTTATTTTTTTAAGCAAAGGAAAAATAGCATCTAGTTTTTTTTTTATTTATTGTTAGTCGAAAGAAAGCAAATTTATATATAAATACCTAAATTAATAATTAGTGATACAATTATTTATTGCCAAAAGGGCAAGTGCAAATTTGTAACTGTAACCCACTGCTGGGCTCGGGCCTCCCTTCAATACGAAGGGGATCAGGCCATAGTCCACCACGCTGCCCGAGTGCGGACTCCACATGTAATTCGAAAAGTTTGCTAGGTTCTCTCAGACATTCAGGTTTTCTCACGATGTTTTTCTTTGCCGTAAGACAAATGGTAATCATGTTGGAAATGATTTGCACATGAAAACATCAGAGGTGCGAGACGCCGGATTTGAACCCATCACTCGGTTTCCCAAGCGAGCGCGTTGCCACTGGACTACCACTGTCTAACTTTTAGTAAATATTATACACGAAACATCAGTGGATATAGCTAGCTCCACATATTACCATTCTCAAAGAAAACTGCACTCAAAAATTGACCAGAACCGAAAACACTTCCCTAACGATTACAATATAATCAGTTTTGACCCATAGATCAATAATAAATAGAGTGGACTATTTTATTTACATAATGGATTAATTTTTACTTAATTATAACAATTTTTTTATCATGAAAACTGTGTAGATAATCTTCAGTTACATTATGTAACTTGTAATAATATAATGTCTATTAAAGGCATATGATTAAATATCACAATACTAATGCGGTAAAGGTACCGACATACGATTTGAAATATCCTTACTTAATACGGACATACGATATATTATATAAAAATAGTGACTTTAACCATTAAATAAAAAAAAATATATCATTTTAACACAAACATTTTACTATACATATATTACAGCGGACACAACCCATAAATTCTTAAACGATAGCTGGGAACTTATCATGAATGAGATAGCGCCTCCTGCTATTAATCAGATCATGAACACGTGTATTGATGAGGTACACAAGCTGTACAAAGGAGTGTTAGCTGAAGAGTTGCTCAAGCCGTAAATGGTGAATTTTGAATTTACAACTTCTAAGTCTTTGAAATTATTCCATAACATATAAACTGGGAATCGTATCATATAACATTACTAACAATATATATAATAACATTTGCAACTAATTTTACTTAAAAAAGAACTAACACATTTTATTCCGCTTTACAATACAATAATTCAGTATTATTACACTGTACCATGCTTTAAAGTATAGAATATTGGTATTTAAACTTTTACCTACTTATATTTTTAAATCTAACAATTTATTCTTTTATTTAGATTTTGAAAATTTAACATAATATTATAAAACATATTATTAGAAAATTTCAGGTTTTTGGAATTTAATAGGTGCAGGCATTACATATTTTAGCATAATATGAAATGAGTCATAATATAATTTAAACTTTCAGCGGATATGATGCACGTGGTGATCAATGAGAACTGGGAACCAGTGATTAAAGAAATCGCGCCAGTTGCTTTCGCCACCATCATCACCGCGTGTGTAGACGAAGCTAAGAAACTCTTCGCCGCAGTGCCCGCGAACGAACTTCTATTAACAATGTGACACATCTATTCCATTTAAATGTTATTTATTTTGTCTCGCTCCTGAATCCTGATAGTTTTTGTGTTGCTCGCTCAAAATAATTTAAATTTTAATAAAGTATACTTTTTTAACATCCAATAGAGTTGTTGAACAAATTGAATTTATGATTTATTATTATAAATCCACTACTTTTTTGATGTTTCACATTATATTTTCTTAGATTTGGTATTTTAAATTACAAAATTAAATACCATAAGCAGTGCAATAAATAAATAAAAACGCCTGATTAACGGCTGATTTATCCTTTTTAATTCCTGTATATTTTAAATTTACCACATAAAATAATACACAAAACCTGCTGATTTTCAACAGGACAGTGTTCGTGTCGATATCGATTTCTTGTGGTAATTTCCTAAGTTTGCAATACTTTACATCCTTTTACATCATAGCTTGAACCTTCCCGCCTATTTCTTAATTTTATCATTCAACTGAATAAACAAAGAGGTGAATAATAATGTTTTATTTGCAAGCATTATAATAGAATAAAGATACATACTTGGTGTCGGTATTTTTTATTAAAGGATAAAAACTTTGATGTTCCGATATAATAACGTATAACTATCATGAGCTTTTCGAAAATCCTACAAATTTATTTATTGATATTTATATAAATCAAATAGGTATGGTAATGGTAGTTAATTTTCAGTAAAATTTACGATTACAGTTGAGAGTTACATGCAATATTATACTTGTTTTGTTTGATTATCTTCCAGCATAAAATATGTACTTATTTTAAGTGACTCGAGACTGGCCTACCATTAACATTTATCTCTATACCTAAAGTATAAACAGTTCAACTCGTAAGATAAGAAATTGTGATAATTGTATTTAAGTTAGTTTTATCAAGAATTGTACAATATGAATAAATTACTTTTCCTTTACTTGTTTTTTTTTTATTATTATAATACTCCAGCTACAATTTATAAAAAAAATATTTTAAAAACTAATGCATATTAGCAAATCAATTTCTAAACACAAAATTACTGTGTTTTTATTAAAGAAAACAAAGCAAGTTCCTATTAAAAATTTATTTATAAAAAAAACAATTGGTAACAAATATAATAAATGCTTAAATGAGTAAGTAATTAAATATTTACATTACTTACATTTAATTGATAAAACCATAAATGTATAAACTCAACAATAAGGCACATTATTCAAAGTTTTGTTTTGTAATTATGATTAAATATGTATTTAAAAGTATTTATAATTCATTCAAATATCAAATTGATTTATACAATGATTCTTGCATAAGTACTTTATTCTTTTCCATTTAGCGAGGGCACATAGCATGACGACCACCATCAACTGGCAAGCTAGCCCCGGTAATGTTGCTAGCTAGATCACTTGCCAAAAAAGCTATAGTCGCTGCAACTTCCTCAGGTTTACCCGGTCTTCCTAATGCATGAGTTTCCTTTGATCTTTGCAAGAATGCTGCATATTGTTCATCACTTAATCCGCCACGTTTTTGAAGTTCTGTAAGTATAACTCCAGGATTCACACAATTTACTCTTACTCCTTTAGGTGCTAGCTCTAATGCCACGCATCTTGTGAATTGATCTACACTAGCTTTCGAGATATTATAAGCTAGAACTCCAGGAAAAGATCTAATGCCATTAACACTCGATACATTCACAATATTACCCTTAGTTTTCAATAAATGTGGCACTGCTAACATAGTTAAGTAATAAATTGACCGTACATTAGTGTTCATAAGACGGTCGTATTGAGCCAACGAGGTGTTCTCGATGGTTCCCGTTTCTATAATGCCGGCATTGTTTATCAAAACATCAATTTGCCCATAATGGTCTACTGTATTCTTTACAATTTTTTCGATGTCATTTTCTTTAGTCAAGTCAGCCGGCACGACGAGAGTTGTAGTTGATCTTTCACAGTCCTTATTGACCTTTTGCAAATTGTCCACATTTCTTCCGATTAGTGACAGCTTAGCTCCAAGTTTTGATAAGAATACAGCAGTGGAAGCACCAATTCCAGAGCTGGCGCCGGTAACAATCACTACTTTTCCAGCGAAATTCATTTTTATTATTACTTCAACTTTTCAAGTATATGAAATTATGTTGGTTGTATAATGTGTGTCTCTTATCATGTATTATATAAATAGATATCACAAAAATTAGGTATGTAAATTAACCACTTGACACTTGTTTACTTCACTTCGGCATAATAATAAAGATTAAAATTCAAAGATTATATAGAATACTCCTATTGTTAATAAGTACATAATCATATTCTATTGGACATTAAGTGAGCTACACATGAAATAGACCACTCTATGATCTATCTTTTATTTATTAATTGAATTTTGATGAAATCTTTGAAATTTGAAAAGTGTGCACACCTACATTATGCAAAAGTAAACGAAAGTCGAAACTTTTAAGTTCTAAATATTTTAAGTTTCGACGTGAATACATGGTATTTGGCCCTAAAGTAGTGAACTTAAAGCAGCCAAATAGATTTTAAGAAAAAATCACATTGACTTAATATATGTCATTACAATGTACAATAACAAAATTCACAAACTGTATACAATGTAACATTTAAATAACGATAAAATAATATTTTTTTCAAAATTTTCAGCGTAATTTACAAACAATGACTAAAGTGAATAATAGTACATACCTGATATATTACTAATGGTCAATTGCGTTGAGAATATTATATTAACGATGTAATCTTTAATTTACAGAAAGAAGTAATTCAGATTCATATTGGTCAAGCAGGAGTACAAATTGCAAATGCTTGCTGGGAATTATATTGTTTAGAACATGGTATTACACCTGATGGCATGTTGGCTTTCTCTGATGATACAAACTATGAAGCATTTTTTGTTCACAGTGGTGCTGGAAAAGTTGTTCCGAGGGTTGTAATGATAGATTTAGAACCTACACCAATAGGTACAAAGTAGATCCTTGATGATTATTTACTTCAATGTGATGTATTGCCATGTCATAAGATCTTAATGTTTTATACCTTTACAGTAATTTTATACATTTGCTGTGAACGCTCAGTTATTTACAGATGAAATAAGAACGGGCACATATCGACAACTCTTCCGTCCAACTTCCTTAATTACTGGTAAAGAAGATGCGGCAAGCAATTTTGCACGTGGGTACTTCAGTGTAGGCCGAGAGATGATAGATCTCGCTTTGAATTGTATAAGAGTAGCAGCGGAAGAATGTAACTGCCTTCAAGGCTTTATTATTTTTCGAGCATTCGGAGGCGGTACTGGATCAGGGTTTACAGCACTTTTGCTTGAAGGACTAACGAAAGACTATGGTAAACTTTCGAAAATCGAATTTTCTGTTTATCCATCCCCAAAAATATCACCCATAATTGTGGAACCGTACAATGCTGTGTTGACTTCTCATGCATGTATGGATACTGAAGACGTATGTTTTATCTTTGATAATGAAGCTTTATATGATATTTTGGCAAGACTTTTAGATGTTCCACGACCCACATACACAAATTTGAACAGACTAATGGCCCAGGTAGCTTTTTTTTAATATCGTCTTAATTTAGTGAATTTAAATATAGTTCTTTTTTCAAACGTAATAAGCTACATATAATACAGTTCGTTAAATTATGTATGTATGTATGGATAGTAGAAAAGTAACATGATCATTTTGCAGGTAGTATCTTGTATGACAGCTTCGTTGAGATTTGAGGGGTCATTAAACGTTGAATTAGTTGAATTTCGAACAAACTTAATCCCTTATCCAAGGATACATTACCCTTTAGTTACTTTTGCTCCGTTCCTTCCACCTTCAAGATCATTACATGAAACCATGCATACTCAACAGTTAATGATGTCTTGCTTTGAGCCTTCCAATCAAATGATAAAATGCGATCCCAGAAGGGGCAATTATATGTCTTGTTGCTTGCTATTTAGAGGAGACGTAAATCCAAATGATATAAATTTAGCAATAACTCGAATTAAAAGCTTAAGGTCTATAAAATTTGTATCTTGGGCTCCAACTGGATTTAAGGTATTTAACATTATAAAATAATTTGTTTAAATATCCTGCAAACCTTTATTAACAAAAAATAAATAAAAATAAAGATTGACGGATACAATTATAATATTACTTTATATTGATAAAATATACCTATTTTGATAATAAATTAAAACTTATAACATAGGCCATGCATTATTTCTTAAGAATTATGTTATCGTACTACATTTTATTTTATTTTTGTACTGTCTTTTTTATCTTCAGTTCAAGTGACAAGAGATGTCACTTGAAAACTTTGACTGGATCAATTTTAAATGATATTCATAGATTTTTTTGAAAATAATTAGGTTCTCTCAGATATTTTTTCCTCGTGATGTTTTCCTATTACCTATATTAGAGTTTTATAGTACCTAATAATCAAATTGGAAATGAAAATCATTTTTTAATAATATTTATTAAGAGTCTGAACAACGAAAGCGTGGTCTGAGAACACGCGGCAAATTCAAAAAATATGTATATGGTAATACTTTATACTATAGTAAGAGAAAAATGTTTTCATACTTGAGTATTTTTTGTATTTACGACAATTATTATTTGTATAATAGTTTTTAGCGAACTTAATTTCTAATTTAAGGAACACACCACGTCTTTAGAAAATCTGAAAGTTTTCTAATTCATATCAACATCATACTTTACAAAAGAATATGTCCGAGCCGGGCTTGAAAATTAAGTAATCGTTAAGTTGTTTCTTAATTTGATATACATTTTTATCAATTCAATGTAAACAACTCGAATCTAATATTGGTATATACGTTCGAAGTGACTATTTGTATGGGTACTGGACGAATAAATTATATTTATTCGTACGGACGTACGTATATTTCATACGGATATTATAATTTTTTTATTATTAAATTTATTACTTATACTTATACTTATTTTTTTTTAATCGCTTTGGTTAGGTTAGGTTAGGTTTTTTTTTATCGATTTGGTTAGGTTAGGTTAGTAGTAGTATTTAATAGTATTAATTAAAATCGGCAAATATTTACCATTTTTTGGTTTAAATTAAAAACAAATAGAAACGCAAAATTTTTTTTTTTTAAATTTCCACTCTAATTGATAAAATAAAATTATTCGTCCGACTTATGTACGAATAATAATAAATTGTTTGTCCAGTACCCGTATTAATAATTATAAATTTTTCGTACGGTAACCGTATTCATAGACTCGGCCATATACGTTTCACGTTATATGTATGTAAATGTATTCATTACACAAAAATGTATACAGTTTTTTTTCTTGTATATACAATTAGTAACAACGCTTAAAACCATAACATCCAGAGACTTTAAAATTTGAGGTGCCTTTGACAGCGTAACCGTTTCCCTGTCCCATGAGTCATATATGAACATTTCAATTGTTTAACTATTGTGTCTATTTTGCGGACAGTTAATCTATTAGTAATATTGCCATATCAAAACTTTTAAGAAAACTCCAGGACACGCTTTCGTTAACCATATCTATCAGTAATTAAACTTGTTGGCTGTTGCAAAGTGTGTAGACTGTAGAATATAATATCATGCTATATGATTATTTTCAACCACTTATTATATTTCAGATTGGTATTAATTATCAGCCTCCAACAACAGTTCCTGGTGGAGATTTAGCAGCTTTACAAAGAGCTGTGGTAATGCTATCTAATTCATCTGCTGTTCGAGTAGCTTGGGATCGTATATGCAAAAAGTATAGTTTAATGTATGCGAAAAGAGCATTTGTACATCATTATGTTGGCGAAGGTTTAGAAGAAGGAGAATTCAAAAACGCAATACTTAATATAAAAGCGTTATCAAAAGATTACAAAGAACTAGAAACTTCATAAATCACTGTATAAATAACTACATAAATAGCATGAATCCAATGCAACTATATTTTATTAAAAAAGTAATGTCAAATGTCAATTCATAAAATGTCAATAAATCGTGGTGATAGCAAAAAAATAATAATAATTTACAATCGAATGTAAAATATTTGCTATTTATTGTTCAGTAAAATAAGTAAGGAAATAGGTATACACTTTATTACAGCAATAAACTAACATTAATACAATATTTAATATTCAATCATATTTAACTTTTATTTCACAACTTATTTATTGATTACATTATATTCTAGTATACAAGGTTTGTATTACTTAATAATATTTACTTATTAAGAGTATATTGAATCCTTGTCAAATTAATCATATAAGTGTCTATTTATTTTAATGTGACATGTTTTTATGTAATTCCAGGATGTTGATTATTTCTCATTTGTGTCGATGTTCACAACCACTAAGGGTAGCACAAAGTAAGCTATTGGTGTCAAACACTAGTGTTCACAGTCGACTAGTATCTAGAAAGCTTATTACACCTCTTAGGTACAGCAATAATAATGTTGCATCAAATAACGGGTTTAAGGTTAGTTGTGTATCTATCTATCCTTTTATTCTATTAAGTAGCAGCTCACCCTCATTTTGCTCAGGTTTACTTTCAGAAAAACAAAACCATCCCAGGGGAGCTGTACATTTTTCCGGGGCATAAAGTAGCCTATGTGCTATTCCAGACTATAATCTATCTCTGTGCCAAATTTCATCCAGATCCATTTAGCCTTTCTGTTGTGATTGAGTAACAAACATCCAAACAGATCTAAACTTTCACATTTATAATATTAAGTAAGATTATATTACCATAATATATTAAAACTGTCAAACACAGCTTACAGATCTGCTCAAATCAAATGGCATCATCACAAGATTTTGTTCCTCAACGCCCAAGCCTAAGCAATCGAAAGCAGTCGGCTACTGGCTCCTCGGGTGCAGTGGAATGGTGTTTGCTGCAGTAGTACTAGGTATGGTAGCTGGATATTTAATACTGCTATATTCTGTGTACTATATTATCAATATTGTTGTTAAGACCACAAATGGGAGTAAGTAATGTTTATATTTTCTATTTAAAGAAGTGTAAAAATTGTAGAACAATATTTAATTATTATATTTTCTAAACTTATATTGTAAACATGTATAATGATCTTAAATGAATATGTCCAAACTTACTAGTACTCTAACGTAGTAGCTCTAACAGCACCTGTTGGAGTTAATTGTTAACAAAGTTGTTGCATCTTTATTTCATTAGTATAATGTACAAATGTGTTTTATTATAATATACTCCCTATTGAAGATAGTGATGGTGACAATATATGATTTGGTCTAGACCCTGCATACTATCAGAATTCGGATATGTCTCACGTCCGCTTCTGATTAGTCCTGAATACTGCAGATCGGACGTCAGTTTTTTTTGATCAGAAGGTCAGAGGGCGCACTCTATACATTTTGTACTAGACCCCAACCCTACACACATAACAGAAGTTCGCATATGGCCGGCCTTATTGTTAAATTATAGCTCTTAAAATAAGGTTTTCATTACTTATGCAATATGAATTAATTTAAACTAGGTTATTTCTAATTTATAAGACTTTTGGGAGATATGCAAATATTACATTTATGTATATGTAAGAAAAAATATATAAAATTAAGTGTAATTTACTATGAATATTATTTAAATTAATGTATTTTGTGGGGAGAGACTGTGCGAAACTTTAGTATTAAGTAAATGTGCAATATTAACATGTATGATTTACTTAATAATTAATTTTTAATTTTGGATAAGCGAATATAGCTTAATTTATTAACTAATTAAGTTTTTATTTATTGAAGTAAAACTTCTTTCGGTGTGTCTGAGGGATAAGTCAATACGTTGGGAAATGAATATTGATTACTATTAATTTTATAAAAATATTATATTTTGATTTGTTTTAATTTAATTGCAGTATCTGGCACAGCCCCAAAGAAGTTTTTATTCAACCGCATATAAAGGTTACAAAAGCACTAATTTTTTTGGCTATTTAATAGAGCAATGCAAACAAAGTTGTTAATTTTCATTTATATAAAACATTAAATGTCAATTTGTAAATATATATATGCATTATGTACTCACCTTAATTTTAGTAGGTAAATAAAGAATGTCCATGATATTATATTTGTTTTTATTTAACTAAAATTGAAAAAAAATCGGTATAAATTATTATTAATATCAATAATAATAATGTGTAATTTTTTAAATTTATTTTTTTATTTTTTTGGAAATAGGTTTGTATGTATGTATGTATTCAGCCCTTTTTAATGTAACGCTGCTAGGCACGGGCCTCCCTTCCCTACGAGGGGGATCAGGCCATAGTCCACCACGTTGGCCAAGTGCGGGTTGGGGAACTTAACTAATAATAGCTTTGCTTGAGGAAAATGTAACTATATCAAAAATAACATTTTTTATTTACATTTACAAGGCTTTTTCATCTTTTTAAGGTGGCGTTACCCGTCTCACAGAGTCAGGTCTGTCGATGGTCACATGGAAGCTGTTGGGAGAGAAACTGCCTAGAACAGATGAGGAATGGCAACAGGAGTTTGAGAAGTATCAACAGTTCCCCGAATACAAATAGTGAGCCTTTTAATTGAATACATATGTTTTTTTAAAGATTATTTCTGCTATTCTTATAGAAGAGATGAGATATAAGTATTTTTTGATAGTTGATGTCATAATCTCCAATGTTAAATAAATAAATGTTAGTATATTATAATGTTTTAAAAATTACTCTTAAAAGGACTTTTGAAGGAAGACCTTGATTAATAATTAATAAAGGAAGGAATTAATTTTGATCTAGACTTATAAGTATTTGAATACTAAGTTTTATTTCGTTGTTTATGGAAATATAGAAAGAAATTTATTCAAAGTACTACTTCTTAACAGTAGCAGTTCTAGCCACTTACGTGTGGATATATTATTACTGGCTTTACCGGTGATTAATTAGTTCTTTAACTTCCCTACAGGGAGTCACAGTAATGACCTATATAAAATATGTAATTCTTATACAAAAGTCCTCCTACATTTCTCACTTAGGGGCCCTTCCTGATTTTTCGGTGCGGTATCGGTGCAGTAATGTAGGCTCGGTAAAATTCTTACCGATTCTTTACCGAGACATCGCAATTCGGGCAGCCAGTAAAACCGATGATACCTAGAGTAAAAGTTCAAGATTTTCTCAAGTTTCTGCGAGATTCGATTGTTTTACACCGAAAGCCTACCGACAGCTTATACCGATAAGTGAGGAAATCTGGCCGACATCAGTAAGCTCTCGGTAACGTAGAAAATACCGCATACAGATATCGCACCGTCAAGTCAGTAAGCGGCTTTACCCTTTGGATAAATGAGAAAATGTGTACATATGTGTATGTTTGTTGCTCCTTCACACAAACAGCTGGACGGATTTGGATGGAATTTATTATATGGAGAGACTATAACCTGGAGTTACTAATATTATGTCTTCAAAGAATTCTTTACTGTGTAACGAGCTTTTGGTATTTTTGTTGTACCCCAGTAAGAACATGAACATAACACTAAATGAGTTCAAATGGATATGGTACATGGAGTACGCGCACCGCACGTGGGGCCGGGCGATAGGGGCTGCCGTTTTCCTTCCAGCTGCCTGGTTTTGGGCGAGGGGGTATCTAGATAAAGCAATGAAAGTCAGGGTGGGGGTGTTTTGTGCCCTTGTTGCTGCTCAGGTGAGGGTTTATCCTTTATCCTTGACCTTTTTTCGATCACAGATGGTTGAATCGATCACAGTGGCATGAAATGTCTTATTTTTGGATAGTTGTTGGGGTTTCTTGACCAAAGGGTACAGTCGGAGCTCTCAAATGCCTTATTGAATCGTCGTTTTTTTATGAAATCGGTTTAGTTTTATTTTTGAAGTATAACCTATTTATTAAAAAATAAAAAATGAATCGGGACAATAAAAATTCTCGAAAATATTGCGTAAGATACAGAAAAACACATCCTGCCTTTTTAACAAAGGAAAAATTAGATCAAAGATCACCACATTGATCATTCCTGACTAATAGCTTAGATATTTTTGTATTGATTCCAGGGTTTGATGGGTTGGTACATGGTGAAATCAGGTCTCGAAGACCGTTTCCAAGGACCGTCTGATGTGCCTCGAGTGTCACAGTATCGTTTAGCGGCACATCTCAGTCTGGCTTTCATTTTGTACTCGGGCCTTTTAGCCGGAGCCCTAAGGGTGCTCCGCCCCTTCCCAATACAAGCTACATTAAGAAGAGTGAAGGAATTGAAGGGAGTTACCGCTTTTGCGCACACAGTGAAAGCTATGGCGTTCTTTACTGCTGTATCAGGTATTTTTTGTTGTCAGGTTTTTTTTGGTCAGTTTGGCACCAATGTGTATATTTACTATTAAAAAATATAGAAGCAAAATAAACATTAATCAATTAATTCATAATTTAGAAGAAAACTGTCGAATTATCTTCTTACATGTTAGTTTTATTTGATTTTTTTTTATGTAATGAATAATAAAAAATAGGAGTATAAATGACGTCTCCTATAATAAATTTTCACTCGAAAACTTCTTATTTAAAGAGTCTGATTGCCGGCATTCTACACCAATAATACTGCTGGTATCCTACACAAAGAAGATCTATGAACGCATCAACTTGCAGTTCTAATACTCTTAAAGTTCCCAATAGTAGCCAAGAAAGCTCATGAGCTATTTTCAATTTCGAACGCGATGTTATCAAATCACAGAAAATAAAACAGAACTTCATATAAAGGCATGGAAGGTAATTCGACGACACGTTTGGTTCAGTTTGTAGTGACCATACTTGCTGTGCCAGCGGTCGCGGGTTCGAGTCCCGCTGGGGGTATTCATTTGTGTGAGGAGTACAAATATTTGTACTCCAGTATTATTATAACATTTTTTTCAATGTGAATCTAATTGTTGTAAATATGTTGTTAAATTAACATATAGCACCATTTAGTACCATGGTAAGCTACGAGGTCTGTGTTATTGATACACTACACATATATAACTTTAAATACATACATATTATAAATAATTATAATTATTGATTAAATTGATTTTGATAGATTAAATTTTCCATTTTAGGAGCATTCGTGGCCGGCCTGGACGCGGGGCTGGTCTACAACTCGTTCCCTAAAATGGGCGATTATTGGGTCCCGGACGACATACTGTCTTTTTCCCCCAAAGTACGCAATTTCACGGAGAATCCCACCACAGTGCAGTTCGACCATAGGATATTAGGGACTTCCACTCTGATAGCAGCGAGTGCAATGTGGCTGGTATCCCGCGGGAAGCCGCTGTCGCCGGTCGCGAGGAGGGTCGCCAACGCGGTGGGCGCCATGGCGTGGTTGCAGGTGTGTTGGTTGTTGTAGGTTTTTGAACTCAAATGGTTACATTTTAAATAAAACTATCTTTTCGGATTTTTTCGCGAATTTATTTTAATTTTTGGTTCCCGACGTTTCGAAGCAATAGAAAGACGTTTTACAGCAATCACAATCACGGGAGAGACTAAATCATTCAAATGGTTACTTCCGTACGGTTACGATGCTATCCTAATGTAGGGTAAATTATTTTTATAAGGGTTGTATATTTAGAGCTGTTGTAATGGGTTGATATCGACTCACAGATTGTACTACGGCATATAAAACGGCCGAAAAATTATACCTCATTTGATTGGTAGTTCATCTTTCTTCAAGTGTACTAGACATGTTTGCATGACGCATATGTGTGACAAGTCTATATAAATATATAATGTACCGAGTTATTTCAAATCAAAGTCTATTTGTTGTGTGTTCTAAATTTCATTCACATCGGTCGACGTTTTAGCCTAAAGGAGTAACAAACAAACACACTCACATAAACTTTAACATCTTCTATACAGATAAATAAAATTGAAGTGTCTGTTTGTAATGTCAAAATAACAGCGTTTTACTAAATGCAAATGAAATTATATACGGTACTTAAAAAAAAAACTCAATTTTTAAATTTTTGTCTGTCTGTTTGTGTGTCCCCGATAATCTCTGAAACGGCTGGAATAATTTTGATGGGACTTTCACTGGAAGATAGCTGATGTTATAGGAAGTAACTATAGGGAGTAGAGAGTAATTTTAGAAAAAAATTTGGGTTCCGCTCAAAAAAATTAAAACGTACCTAGGGACGAATATGAGTCGCTAATTTATAACAGTATTTTGATTACAAAGAGACGTTCCCCACAGGTGGGGCTGGGCATCCTGACGCTGCTGCACTACGTGCCCACTCCGCTGGGCGCCGCGCACCAGTCCGGCTCGCTGGCGCTGCTCAGCCTCGCCGTCTGGCTCACGCACGAGATCAAACTGCTTAAATATATACCAAAGTGAATGTTCACAGCATTTTATATTTATGCTCTGTAATATTATTGAACCGCACTTATGATTAAAGATGGAAGAGGGCGCTGACTCCTGAAATACAGGTTTAATCTAGTTTGGGAGTCAGAAGCTTCAACAGGCTTATGTAACAAAATACGATTGTGTCATCGTCATGTATATCCAACCTGACATAAGCCGCCGTCATTTTAACTGTTTTTGAAACTAGCAACGCGCGATGTTATTAGTATTTATGGATAATATAAATAAGTTAAAATGTTAGCATTATAATGCCGTAAAGTATCACGTTTATGAAATATTTTGAAAAATAAATCGCGAAATGAAAATAGAAAGTATAGGTAATTAATTAATTTATTATTAATATCGTTTTCGAATGGCTATGTTCATTTCTAAATATCTCAGAAACGTGACAGTTTAAGGCATTATATTGTTTAAAGTTTTCTAGTTATTTAAATGTCTTCTGTCCAAATATAAACGTTTCATATACGTTATTCGCCGGAAGTTTAAAAAAATAAATAAACGACGTGCCACAAAGGTTTCATTTTGCATTTACATATCGGTTTTGTTATTTTTTGTGTATATTAGACTCTCTAAGTTGAAGTAAAAGCAGTATTTCACTTGTTAGTGTAAGATGATAAAGGAATTTGTTACTTAGCCTTTTTTTTATTTCATCCAACTTTTTTTTAATTACCACTCCAGATATACGCGTTGATATTTTTTGAACTATGATTTTTGAAATATGTATATATATATATATACATATATATATATATATAATAGTAAAACATAATTTAATATTTATTTAACCGATTTGGCTATTTTTTTAAACTTGCCCCGAAAATTGGTACATTCGGGAGAAACAAAATGCTTTTTTCCATAGATTTTTTTATATAACCACAAAAATCACGAATATATTTACTGAAATTGGGGACAGGACGTGTTGGTTTAGCTCGTTTAATACTATAAGAGATGAAAACAAAAAATACATGTAAAGTTATTCACAAAGTGTTTTTATTTGAAAATTTAAAATGCTAATATTGCTTACACATGCTACTGTTGTATGTACAAGCCACGAGGCCGCCGCCGTTACACCGAAACGACTTCCCGATACAATCGTTAAAAACAATAGAGATACATACTTTAAAAATGAATCGCTTCGGTGTAACAGAAGCCACTATATAATTTGAATTGAATCTCGTTAATAGATGGCGCTAAATCTTTTAAGCCGTAAGCGTCCTGTATGTGATAAGTAGTTTAGTTAAAACCTTTTTATAATTATAAGAAATATTTAACAAATCATATCATATATGTAGAGAAAAAAAAACAATTATTGTCCGTCCATCACAACTTGAAGTGAACGCCATCAATTGACGAAATCCGTACAGTCATAGACATAAAAAATCGGTGATCTCAATCCAAAATATACAACACGATTATACGCTGTGAATTTATTCATATTTAATGCCTATCTATCTACAAACTTACATATTAGTGCTATCAAATAAAGTCTGATCCAAGGGTGGTCTAATTTATTGGCACTGAAGTATCGAAACGTAACAAATTCTTTAATTTAACTTCCATTATCACAAAATTTGATAAGCGACATGTTCCCGACCCTTGGACACAGTAACAGCTATTAGTTTTATCAGTAAAGACTCTTGTCTAAACTCCACGAATAGATTATGAATTAAATTTCATCCTTTAACATTAAATATACATCAACTTTAAAAAAGTACAGATAAATAATATGTCAAATACTTGCTTACTGTAATGGACCATATAACGGTTAAATAATAATATATTATTATGCTTCAATTCCTTACATCTCTGATAGAAGAGGTAATATTATGAACAGATATTCACGTTTCCAACGTGGACATGCCCTATACTAATATTCTTTATAAACATCATTCATATAGTTACAGATAATAAGGATATACGTTATTTTATTTGATATATAAACTATAATAATCTCAGTTTACTTGGATATGCATATTATTGGCCTCTTGTGTATAATAGCCAGTTCGAATCATGAGCATAGATAGACAGCAAATAGTGTCATAATATATCTCAGTATGAATATCTCTTTTTAAACTGATCAATTCTCAATCTCTACCGTATCTTCTCCATTGTACACGACATTAGCGAAGTAAATTGTGCCCAAATGGCACGCTTATAAGCCACAGAACAAAGAACATTGACAAACGTAAGTGTTCAATGCACGACGGGCAAGCATCGCCTGACAGAGTACGATCAAGCTACATTCCAAACTGACCAATAAATAAATAACTTAAGATAAAACCTATTAAGGTTTACGCTCAAGATTCGTGCCAACAATGAGGGATATAGTTTCAAGCGGCACCAAATGGCGCCACTGGCGAAAAGGGTCTTATCGCTGTCGTTAAAAAGTATTTGTTTACGTGACACTAGTATAACAAAAATTTGTTTGACATATCCATAAACTTTTCTCTAACTCTACTTATAAAGCAATGACATTTGTTGAGCCGTACCGTGTCTGCCATTATTAATATTAAGGAATGGCACAATGTTTACAATATTAGTAAAGATCGCGATAAAAAGCTCGCAAACAGTTAACATTTAGTGTCATTTGACAGTTCTAGAGACTTCCCTCTACACTAGCGCCTCTCGCGGTTAATTGAAGCGCGGTAGGCCTCATTGCACTAACAATCTGTAGCTAGGGCATGTCCACAACACCTTTCATATGTCAATTTAAATAATCTGTCCCTATATAATATAATATTAATATATACACTTAGATATACTATTGAGATTTAGATATTGAGCTGAAGATTTATTTCGCGATAGATTTATCGTTTTGGATAGTACCCGTACTTGTTAGTTACAACGAATTTGAATGCAGTCAGTGCCACATAATATTAATAATTCAATTATTTTTGAAGTGAAACTTCTTTATAATCGTGATTTAAAACTCAATGAAACGGAAATGCGACACTAAAAAGAGACAAACACATAAATATATAGGCATAAGCCGGCAAGTGAACGAGATAGAATACATTGCCATTTTGCCACGGTAACCGTTGTTATTGTGTGACAAATATATAATATTATATTCTTTCAGTATATGATATTTTATAAATATATGATTGTAATATGCCTAACACATGCCTTATTTAATTATTGATTTGTTTTAATTTAATTGCGATATTTGCTAAGGAAGTTCAACTTCTACCGTGAGTAAACTGCACACACTTTTAATTAAAAAAATTAAATTAGATTGGAACTAAATATAAATATTTAGGATAATTTATAAGCGAACTCACATAACATGTGATTATAGTAAAAATACGAAAAGAAGAATGTTAATCGTACTTTTTTTTATTACTATTATCGAAATCTTGTTTAAAGTAAAAATACAAAATTCTATATATGCCAAAATATAAAAACATGCTACTCTCGGCCGGACGTGTAGAACTAGCATTACACAATCAAGCTAATTAATATATTACGATATATAAATGCTTCACAATTCACAACAATCCCATTAAAAATATAAGAAATGGTGAACGAATTAAAAAAATAAATAATGATATCTAGTCTGTGACGTATTTGTCTGTATGTAGGAGTTAGGAGAATTAATATTATTTAGTTACCGGTACTTTATTTTTCTATTTATTGGTTTCAATAATAATTTAACACAAAAAATAAATACATAAAATGTATTTTTTTTAGTTTTAATGATAAATTCCAAATTGAATTATAAGTATTGAAAAACGGTAGTATAACTATTTTTAGATAATCGAGCCCACATTTATAATACTTTCCTCAATTAATTAGAAAACATTACGTACGTTACATTAAAAAAAATATATAAGAACTAAATGTCATGATAAACTTTTTAAATATATTATCGAATCGAAGGAGTTGACTGAGAAAAATATTCTAGCACCACACAATTCCTGAGTTGAAAAGAAACATGAAAATTATTATAGACATATTGATTGAAATTATGTAAATAATAAATTAATGTATAATTATTATTGAAGTAAATTAATTCTTCGTATACGACTGATTTTTTTTTACTTTTTGACTTCATGAGATTCAAAAAAACACATTTCATTGATACAACTTAAAATTTGAAGTCAAATATGAAATCATACTCTATATTTGTTTAAAATTAAAACCAATTGTCATAAACACTATGATATAAAAAAGTATAATAATTAATAATCTATCCAATACGCGTTTATATTTAATCTGTGATAAAACGTATTGTTTATCTATGCATGGTAACTAATGTTATTTTATTAAATTAATATGAAATTAAGCCTCAAAATTTATTAACACATTAAACTAGACAGCACTAAATATTCAAAATAAGTTTAATCTAAGCTATTCTATTTTACGATATCGATATTATAAAGGAAATAATAATGGCCATTATAATATAGGTACATAGCTCAAACTCAAATTTTAATACAAATGTTGTGTAAAGCTTTATTATTTTAAATAAAACTATTTATTCGGATTTATTGCAATTTTATTTAGATTTTTTGTTCTCAATTTTCTCAAGTTTCAAAGTTTCAGTTTTTGTTCTCAAGTTTCAAAAGTTATACTTTATTACAGATACAGGTAGTGTTTGTACTTTGTAATAATCTAATTTTCAAGATGTCAAACATCTTAGTTTCTTCCATTACCATGTTTGGAATGATGTAAAGATTAGAGAATTCCAAACGTCCAGAGCAAAAAATCAAATTAAAACCGTGAAAAATTAAAAAAATCATCGTCAATAGTTTTACTTAAAATTCAAATTAAAAAAAAAACATTTTTCAGTCACATTATTACGAATAACTCTCCATAAATGCCTATTCAAATAAATGATTTAATCGAAGCATTTTTAGACGACAGTACTATAATATTAGGGGCTTCAATAAAATAAAATATATTTGACAAATATGACTTTACAGAATATAAGTAATAATATGAAAAATAAACCGTTTTAAAAAATTGAT